GGTATAAAAAGTGGGGCCTAAAAATTGGTCTAATTGATCTGCTAAGCCAATTGGGCCCTCTATCAGAGAGTTCATTTCTCTCTTAAAATTCTTAACTTCAGTACTTGTTAAAGGGGCATTTACATATTCAATCTCCCCTTGACCCACTGGGATCTCCCTTAAGGGGTATAATTTAGGTTCCCCTTTCTCTTTGGAAGGAAGGGGATAATTCTGGAGATTCTTCTGGCATCATTCCAATTCTTTCCTTAATTTACTAAAGGTGGGAGCACTACATGCCCCCAAACTTTCTGGATCTCTCTTTGAGTTCTCAGTTTTTTTCCCCTGATACCCAGATCCTGATTCCTGAAATTTAGCTCTTTCCCCTAGATCTATCAAATCTGTATCTGGAACTCTGGGTATAGAAGGAGCAAAAGGGGGCAGCAGGGCAAGAAAAGGGTCCCATTTCTGAAAATCTTCCTCCTTTTTGCATTCGCCTTTTCCTTTCTCCTTTGTCTTAAGTGGAAACAATTTGACAGAACTCTCTCCTTTCCAACAGGAAGCATAAGCAGAGTTCTCCTGACTGAAAGAATCTTTGTTATTCACAAAAAACATTTAATGTTTGACATACTCAATCCTCATCTGCTCTGTATTTTCTCCAAAACACTGCTGGTAGTAGAATACTCTGTCTAGGCCAAGTGAAATAGCAATACTTTATCATTTTCTTCTTATCCTTCCCTCTTATACAAGAATCATCATTCCAATGTTCCAACATCCTCCCTAAAGGACTATCTGGAGGGATGTTTCCTGGAGTGCTTCTTTTATCCTTGCCTGGCACCTTAGTTCCCTAATTTCCCATCTTATCTATCTTCCTGAGATGACTTGAGCGCGAAAGACCCACTTCTTAATCAAAGGTTCAGATTCTCAGATCTAAGCTTGCACCCATGGAGCAAAGCCCCTCATTCCTGTACTTCCAAAGTATACCTCACATTCTCAGTCTCATGTAGGATAATTCCCCTACTGACAAGGTAATACTTAATAGTCCAAATTTTCTTACCTTGCCCCACAAGCAGTACGCCATGAGCTTATACAGTGGCCATGGTTTCCATGCCTGTTTTCCACTTTTCTCTTCACCCTTCCTTTTCAATCAGCCTTGGGTCCCCACAGTTGGATGGAAAGGATACTCACCCTCAATCCATGAGGCCATTAAAAATCGACAGAGTGCACCTCCCTCCCCTTTGGTGATGATCACCTCTCTGCCTCGATGCTTGGAATCCTGGTCAATCGCCCAAGGAATTGTGAGAAATAACTCATTCGAACTCAGAAGGGATGAAGTTAAAAGCCTCATTCTTTCAGATTAAGTATGGCTAGAGAAGGATAAATAAGCTTGAGAAACAGAGAGGCACATCTATTAGAGTAAGAACTTATCACTCTAATGGAAATTTGATTTTACTCAGGATTTTATTTAATCAGGAACTGAAACATGTGTAGGAATGCATGAAAACTACTTAGGGTTCACTTTAGAGATGTTTCCTAACTAATATGAGATTATAGTCACACCTGAAATCCTGATGATGAAAATTTGCTATCCAAGGTCTTGGTGGCTGTTAATGAATGATTATTCTGAGTCTAACCTCAGGTATGGTTAATAAGGAACTGATTGAGCTACTAACCCATGATGTCAGCAATCCTGTGAGGGGTCTGTGAGCTGCATCTATGAACTGCAGAGGGTGTTCTCATGGGAAGGTAAGGAGAATGACTATGCTGCATGAGCTTAGGTAGGATTCTCCTGACTCAATTTTCCCACTATGACTCCTTACAGACTTTAAGTCTGGCTCAATGCAGTTTACTATTATATAACTTCTGCGTGGAATTGACATGAAGTTAGGGAAGTATGGTTCCCTTACTTTAGTTATGTCTCTATTCTTTTATGACAAATTTCTATAATCCAAAGGTATTATGAGCACAATATCAAACTTATTAATTCATAGGTTGATGTGGGAACATCTGAGGTTAGTATGGTAAGATGCAAATATAAAATTGAGCTATTTAGCTTAGAATTTTAGAATTAGTATGATGTTGAATAACAGTGGTGACAATGGACATCCTCGTTTCACCCCTGATCTTATTGAAAATGCTGCTAGCTTATCCCCATTACATCTTATGCTTGCTGAAGGTTTTAGATAGATGCTATTTATTATTTTAAGGAAGACTCCATTTATACCTATGATCTCTGCTGTTTTTAATAGGAATGGGTGTTGTATTTTGTCCAAAGCTTTTTCTGCTTCTATTGAGATGATCATGTGGTTTCTGTTGGTTTTGGTGTTGATATGCTCAATTATGCTGATAGTTTTCCTAATATTGAACCAGCCCTGCATTCCTGGTATGAATCCTACTTGGTCATAGTGTATTATTCTTGGAATGAGTTGCTGTAATCTATTGGCTAATATTTTGTTTAAAAATTTTGCCTCTATATTCATTAGAGAAATTGGTCTATAATTTTCTTTCTCTGTTTTGACTCTTCCTGGTTTCGGTATCAGCACCATATTTATATAAAAAAAAATTCTGGTAAGACTCCTTCTTCACCTATTTTCCCAAATAGTCTATATAGTATTGGAATTAATTGTCCTTTAAATGTTTGATAGAATTCACATGTAAATCCATCAAAACTGGAAAAGAGTATGGCAGAAACTAGGCATAGACCAAAATCTCACACCATATACCAAAATAAAGTGAAAATGGGTTCATGATTTAGATATAAAGGCTGATACTGTAAGCAAACTGGGAGAGCAATGAATAGTTTACCTATCAGATCTATGGAGAACAGAAGAATTCATGACCAAACAGGAGATAGAGAACATTACAAAAGCAAAATGGATAATTTCGATTACATTAAATTGAAAAGTTTTTGCACAAACAAAGCCATTGCAACTAAGATTAGAAGGAAGGTAGAAAATTGGGAAAGAATTTTTACAACCAGTGCCTCTGATAAGGGCCTCATTTCTAAAATACATACAGAATTAAGTCAAATTTATAAGAATACAAGCCATTCCCCAATTGATAAATGGTCAAAGGATATGAACAGGTAGTACACAATAACAGCCATGTTGTGCAATGACTAATATTGATAAACTTAACCCTTCCCAGCAATGCAAGAATCTAAGACATCTCCAGAGGCCTCGTGATGGAAAATGCTAACCACATCCAAAGAAAGAATTATGGAAGTTGCATTGCTATTTGTTTTCTCTTCTGTTGAGTTTTGTTTCTTCTCTCTGATAGTTCCTCCTATTGGTTTTAATTTTTACTTACAACATCATTAATGGGAAGATATGTTTAATAGGAATGTAAATGTATAGCCTATATCAGATTGTGTGCCGTCTTGGGGAGGGTAGTCGGGAGGAAGGAGGAGAAAAATTTTAAACTCAAAAACATATGGAAGTGATTATTGATAAATCAAAATAAATTAATAAAAAAGAAAAAAATTGTTTTATGAATAAAAAAAAGAATTTTAGAATTAAGTATTCAGCCTTGACATCCGTTACTATTATATTAGTAAATAAGTTAGGATCCTTTAATTTCTCATAATGGTATGGGAATAATTAGGCCAGGAGCTTGTAGAACCAGGATATTATTCTGTTACTTTATTAATACTTGGTTAATATCAAAGTTGTCTCATTATTTGCTCTGGTTATTGGCAAGGTAATTTTAAAATTTTATTAAGATCAATGTTGTAGGAGAATGGAAACAAAAAAGAGGGTCTCTACAAGAAGACAGTCTTTAAACAGCACTTAGATCAGAAAACTTCTCTGGAGATGTCCAGAACATCAGATAGCTGTATGAGAAGAGACTTCTGAAGCCTTAAAAGAATAATTTATCATTACGTTTGGGTCTTTGTATCTGTACTTACTAAGGGGACTGCCCCCTTTTGATTTGCACCAAAACAGTGAAGAAGATGCAAATAGCTAACTTAGGAGGGAAACGAGCCCAAATGATGGTTTTGAGAAAGAAGCTATCCACACAAGAGGATGTAGAGGAAAAAGAAGGTTTAGAGTTGCTAAGGGATTTCGAAGATAAACTTAAAGGGAAGAATAGAAATTGTGTGGAAACATAATCCTTAGAAAGAAGAGAAAGGGAGGATTGTAACGTATAAGAAATTATGCAGAGGAAATGGTCTAAAAGTCTAATACAGATGTGAAAGATGTGGTTCTGTTTAGAATTGTTTTTCAAAACTAGTAGTGTGGTTAAAAATGCTGAAAATAGGACAAAGGTTACAAATTGCTCAAACTACCTGTGCTTAAGAAGATTATGCATATTAACTTCTCCTCCCCAGGGGAAGGATTAACATGATTTTAGGCACAATGTTGTAAGTAAAGGGAGAAGAAAACATATTAAGGAATAATATGAAGTAGGCGTACTGGGAAGTTGCACACCTCAAAATAGCCAGCCAATGGAGAAATGAGGGGAGACCCTGCATTTCAGACTGGGATAAAACCACGTGGTCTCACTTCCCTAGTGTGTGCCTGCCTCTAGCAGCGTACCCCCTTCTTGCAAGATTGTGTAATAAATGAGCTTGCCTCCTCTACCTCAGGAGTCTTTGTTTTTCTTACAGAAGTTATTCCTAACAAAAGGAAAGCAGGAAAGAAAATTTTTCTTTTTACAACAAATGTCTTTGATAAACATTCTACTTCACAAATACATAGGGAACTGAGCCAAATTTAGAAAAATACAAGCTATTCCCCAATTTATAAATTGTCTAAGGCTATGAACAAGCAATTTTCAGAAAAAGAAATTAAAGTTATCAACAGTCACCTGAAAAAATGTTCTAGTCACTATGGATTTGAGAAATATATATTAAGAGAACTCTGAGATACCACATCACAGCTATCAGATTGGCTAAGATAACAGAAAAGGAAAATGACAAATGTTTGATGAGATGTGAAAAATTTAGGAAATGAACACAATGTATAGATTGCTGGGCCTGGATTAAGAAAAAATTATCTTTGTGAGGGCAAATACTGTCCTACATATACAAAAGAAGGGGACCTAGTCCTATGTGGGCTTCTTCTCCTTGTTTCTGAAGTTACAGCAACAAACTGAGGTTATCTTCAAACATTCTCCCATTTAAGGAAGTGTAGAACCAAAGAGTTTTTGTTTTACTTTTGTTTTGTTTTTCCTCATTGATGAAATAGTCATCCATATTTCTGACTGACTGGTTTGTCATTAGAGTTGTGTTGTATTTACCCTCACAGCTTTGGTTAAACAAAGACCTAGGTTTGAATATTTCTAGAAACCTGGTACTCGGGAAGTGATAAATTAATTTTTTTTAAATGTACAGTGCAACAAGCCAAGAAATAGACATGCTATATAGCTTTATAAACAGAGATTCATTCACACATTCATTCATTCACACATGTTAAAAAAAAAAAAAAACCTCACCCAGTACAAGGATGAGGGAGACACATCAGGGAGGAAAAACAATTAAACTTGGGGTTCAGGTGGCAAAATTATGTTCCCTAATTAAGAATGCTACTAGGCTTTGATGAGATTTGGATAGAGGGAGCTTCTGCATCTTTTTTTCTTTTTTTGATAAGTTCAATACAAGTGGCCCATCTCATAAAGAATTTAACAGGTACTCAAGACATTGAGTTGTGTTTGGCTTATTTGTGTGTGTGTGTTCCAAAGTCAATTCAAGGTACAATTCAAACACTTGCATTGCTCTTCATACATTCATTGACTAAATAGCAAGATTCTTCCTGCTATCAGGATTTTGTTAAAACGCACACACATACTAGACCCCTCAATCAGTGCAAATGATAGGGAGCTCCTCTTCAAAGACATGAATGTTTTAGTGGATTTAGGCTGAATGAGTTAAAGAAAATAAAATTTTGAAAAAAATAATCTGCATGACCAGTACAATAACATTTTTAGCTGGCAGCAAAAATGAACCAATGCACTTAAAGATATCACTTCCACCCATCACAAAATCAAACGCTAAAACTAGCTTTGCTTACCCAGTTTATTTAACCACCTTAAAAATAGATTCATTTTTGCGCAGAAGCAAACTTTAAAAGGAAAAAAAATCAAAGAGCAAGTTTCTCTACAACCATAATTTTCCCTGATTTGAACTTTCTTAAGTTTGTCAAATAACATGCATTTTTCCTTACAAACTATCCTCACAACAAAGCTTAGAATAGGGTTTCTTTCTCTGCCTACTCAGTCAATTTATTTTTCACCCTTATTCTGGAAAAAGGTTATGTGCACTGAGGCTTATGTCAAACGAGAATGCAATTTTTCACTTTGACCATCACATATACACATAAAATTCAGAAATAATGACTTTAGGTGGCCAGGGAATGGGTAACCAACATTAGCTTACCAATTATCCTCTCAATAACCAGTAATTGCTTCCTTCAGTTAGTTATCCTAGCCACTGTATTAAAAAAATCTATTAGAGTATGGTGACAGAAAACACTCAAGAAAGAATCTCGTGTATATTTTGCTTCCCTTCCTTGTTATTTAAAGTATTCGAATGAAAGAGAGATCTTTGTTCCCTTGAGGTCCATCTGTTCCTGTATGTCTTTATGTACCTGAATTCATTTTATGCCTTAAAAGCTTTGATAGCAACCAAGGCAGGAAATACAGAGCAGACAAGCCCTTAACAAACAAAAATTCAATGTTCATTTGTTGCCTGCAACTAAGAGTCACACCTGATGGGAGAGCGTGAAATGAAGAAACATGGGCCAGGCGGGTCAGTGAAGACTGAGCCGTTTACTCATCTGAGGGTCACAACATATATAGGAAAAATTTTGGAGCTTTAAAGGATCCTTTGTGTGGGAAAACTAAAACATATCCCGAGACTGTTACTGATAACTTTCAAGGTTCAGAGCTCGGTACAAAAATGCTTTCAGGACATACATCAAAGGAGCATACCATAAAAGTGTCAAGAGAAAAGGATTACATCGTTTTAAACAAATGGTTACAACTAACCATCAATTAATGGTTAACTAACAGTCAATTAATAGGCCTGGACAATCATTCTCAGGGCTGTCTCAGGTTCTTATCTCAAAGTATGTGACTAGTCCTCCCTAGTTTGCCACATGTTATCCCTCATGCCAGACTGTTACTGTGTCACAGTCAGGCAGTTCCCGGAGCCCCTTAATGAATAGGAGAGTGGTGAGCCAACATCCTGATTAAGTGAGCCCTTGAAGGTAAGAACAGGCAGGAGTTAAATTCCAACCTGAATTCTTTAACCCTTTTCTGGACTGATCAGAGCTGGCCCTCTACCTCTCTCCCTTTCAGTTTTTGTTGAAGCTTGAGGTGATGAATATCTGTGGCTAGGGATTTGAACCATGACTTTATCAGTGCAGCTGCACGCGGGAGAACAAGGCAAACTAGGATTAATAAAATTCCCCAAGAAAAAGATGAAGTAATAAATCAGTGATATTTTTGGATATATTTAACGAGGCCAATTTTTCTAAGATCTCTTGTGCTAAACTCTGAGGATGAATCCCTGGGAATAGACTATTGGAAATAGCCTGGGTTACATTTGTAAGAAAAGATAAATCCGCTGCATAACTGCTATTTTGCCAAATACCTTCTAAATGATTCCTGATCATATCCAAATGTACTATACTAGAATTATAAGCTATAGGAGTAACACATATCATAGTAAAATGATAATCACATTTCAATTTTGCTCTAAATTCTGATTCTGCAAATTCATCTCCAATATATAGCACAGATTGCTCTAGCAGATTAACTTTATATGATAAATCCCTATCAATAGCTTCTTGAGCTTGTAAGGCTAAGCTAATATTTTTTGCAAGCTCATTTACAAATCGTGCATCTTGTATCCCTGACTGCAATGCAATAGAAGACAGGGTGGATATAATAATTAAGGAAGTGACAGAAATTAATCCAGTAATGAGAAACCCAACAAATCTTTTTGACCTGTATAGTGATGATGAGATGAGTTGAAGGGCATGTTCACTAGAAGATTGGAAACATTCATGAGAAAGGTTAGTGGGAAAAAACAGCAAAGGATGGTTGTTCAACCAATAGAACAATTTTGTCATTTCGATCAATACATTGCTTGATGATACAATTAAGACAGGTTCCATTCTATTCTAAAGTACTGGATTGTGTGAAGTTCACAAATCCAGGTTCTAAACTATTGGAGAAGGAGGAAGCTATCATAAATGCTTGTGGGGTTTTATACAAGCTTTAAAGGAAAATAAGTCCAATGCTGGTCACAATGTCCATATGATGGCTGGATAGAGAGCAGGGGAATCATTGCAAGTCTTTTCTTTCTCTTTATAGTTCGCTTCCGTTTCTGCTGCAGGTTCAATTCCTTCATCTGGGGGGTGAGTAGTGGAACAGGTTCGAACATATTTCTCTGGAATCCAGACAGGTTTCTCAAAGGTTTCTGGAAAGACACAAACATACCCTTGCCCCCAGGTTAATAATGGATCTGGATCTTCCCACTTCCCCATAAGTGGGTCCTTCCATATAACTCTGGCTTCAGGAAACCTGCATTTTTGAAAGTGTTTTTCTGCAGGTGTAATCCCCTCTTTATTGACATTCAAAAAACTTAAGGTATATAAAATCTGGGCTAATTGTGTGGAGGGGGTAGTAGTCCACGCTCCCCCTTTTTGTTTATTTAAGTAAGTTTTGGTGTCTTTATTTATTTATTTTTTTAACTAAGACTTGTCCTGTAGGATTGTATGGTATTCCTGTAATTAAAGTAATATTATAATATGAACAAAAAGAGCAAAAAAGAAGAACTGGTACAAGCAGGAACATTATCAGTTTTTAATTGTTTTGGAATGCCCAAACAAGCAAAAGAGAGAAGCATATGATTAAGAACATGTATGGTAGCTTCTCCAGATTGAGGGGAAGCAAAGGTGACTGAAAAATAAGTATCTACTATAACATGTACTTAAAACAGTTTCCCAAAAGAGGATATGTGAGTTACGTCCATTTGCCAAATGTGGTTGGGTTATAGACCCCTAGGATTTATAGTAGTAGAGGAAGGAGTTAAATATATAACACATTGAAAAGAGCTTTTAACTATTTGTTTGTCTTGTTCTCTAGTAATATGAAATTGTCCACGGAGTGTGTTAGCATTTTGATGAAACTAAGTATGGGCATCAATAGCCTTTTGAATTTGTAGGGGCAATAAAATTGGAAAAAATTGTAATTGATAATCAATGTTTGCATTACCAGTGCTTAAGGATCCAGGAAGATTAGAATGAGTTCTAATATGAGTGATATAAATGGGGTTATTATGGCAACAAAGTAGTGATTGTAGTTGCTGAAACAAAGAATAGAAATCAGGTGCTAGGACATGTTTAAGTTTTATGGTCTCAATATTTTGGCACATATGTATGGAGTATTTACTATCAGATATAATATTGAGAGGGTCAGAAACATCCTGCTTCAGAAAATTGAAAATAAAATAATAAATAAATAAAAATTACCATTAAAAAATAAAAAATAAAATGTGAAGCTTCTAATAAAAAAAACAAAAAAATATGATAAATGTTTGCCACGTATAAGATATTTCAGCACAACTGGTCTGATTCTACCTCTATTCAGAAGTCAGAAAATATGACTGCAGCCAAAATGTTATTATTCTCAAATAAAAAAATGAGATGATGATAAAATAGAAAGTACATGATCTAGATCCATTTCAAATATTAGGACTATGGGAGCCTAGGAGCTATCACATTGTCATTGGTAAGGAAGAGCTTGAAAAAATCTGGCTCCTCAAAGATTAGCTTTGTTTTTTATTATCTTCAGGGTATTTCTCTCTGATCTCAGAAGGGTCACATAGCACTTGGGAGCAAAGATGCAAGTAAGAATCCCAGCACTGGAAGTCAAGATGGAGAAGAGCTCCACGGCCACCAAGGGCTTGCCTTTGGTGCCCTGATATGTGGGCAGAAAAGATATGAAGACACTACAGAATACAAGCATGCTGAATGTCAGAAACTTGGCTTCATTGAAAGTGTCTGGCAGATTCTTGGCCAAGAAAGCCACTGTGAAGCTCCCCAAGGCCAGGAAGGCCATATAGCCCAGGACACAGTAGAAGGTGAGGATGGAGCCTTCATTACACTGAATGACAATGAAGACAGGCTCAGAGTGTATATCTGTCTCCAGCAATGGGAGATATGTCCCAAGCCAGATGCCACAGAGACACATTTGGATTAGAGTACAGATTAAAATGAGAGAATAAGATGTTGTGGAGCCCAGCCCCCTCCTGAGTTTGCTCCTTGGCTTTGTGGCCTTGAAGGCCAGAACCGCAGTGATGGTTTTAGCTAAAATGGAGGCAATGGTCACTGTAAACACAACTGCAAATGTGGTTTGTCTCAGGAGACAAGTGGCTGTGTTAGGATGGCCGATGAAGAGCAGGGAGCAGAGGAAACAGAGGCTGAGGAAGACCAGAAGAATGTAGCTGAGAGTGCGGTTATTGGCTTTGACTATGGGGGTGTCTCTGTGCTTCACAAAGACTGCAAGGACCAGAGCAGTGAGAAGAGAGAAGTAGAGAGCTGCACAGGCCAGACTCATTCCAAGAGGCTCTTCATAGGCCAAAAAGGTCACAGTCTTGGGGAGACATTGATCTCTCTCCCAACTTGGGTACTCATCTTCAGGGCACTGAAGACATTCCTCTGCATCTGTGAACAATAACAAAAGAATCTCCCCATATCCCATGTAGATAATAGCTTTGTTTTTCTAATAAAGCACAGGTTTAGTCATTCCACACTGAGCTCAGCCTCATTTTTGTACTCCTTCTTCTAAGTCAAAAGGACAAAAATTCTAGAGGCTGAATTAGATAAACACATATTTCAGTATCTTCATATCTCCACATGTGGATAAAATAATGTGCTGAAAGTATTGATTCCCTATCATATGTCTATGAAATAAAAATTTAAACTGTCTATAATCCATTCTGATATTAAAACACCTACAATGAGCCCTAAGGTATCACTTTATGGATAATCCTATATTTTCAGAATAGGAATGAGACATTGAAACCATTCTGTCATTTTTTTTTCATAGACAGCCATGTATTAATAAAAATTAAAAAAAACTTATTTAATGTGTTTCTTTTAATGTCATAACTACAAATCTTCTGGATTCTTATGGTACATGATTCTGCTTATGGAAATCAAACATTCTTCAAATAAGCAATTTTCATAAAAATTTTGATTTTTTAAAATCAGAAAATATATTATGCACCTATTGCAATGGTTCCTAGTTTCTATAGCTTTATAAGTGAGGATTTCACACCTGTCTCCTTCATATTTTCTACCCATCAGTGTTATAATTTTGTTGTGTATGTATACATTACTCCAGCTTCAGGCACAACTACGATGACATGGCCTATATCTTGCATATTATTCATACATATGTCTCTTTTCTTGTTTGCTGAACTTTTAATAAATTGTATATTCATTAACTTTCAGGTTTATTTATGTATTATGAGATTGGGCCAAAGAGAGAAACACAGAGAGATACAAATGAAAATATATGGAAATGGATGTTTCTCTGAGTTATTTAAATAATAGCAATTAATCAAGATTATTCATTAGTCAACGAGAGGGATATTTCAAATTTAGTCATTACAGTGGAAATATTAGGAGAAAAATACTTCCCAGTAGATGTTGAGATAAGAGTAAAATTAATCAGTAGAAGGTAGAAAAAGGGTGACCAGTCAATCCACATAATCTCTTTACTCAAAATCCTCATTTTATTTGCATATTGGTACCATAAAATTTTAAAACATCCTACTCCTATGTCCCATCAGGGAATGAACGCAGCCCTGGATTTTCATCTTGTAGGCCCCTGAAGATTTTATTCCACAGTGGCACTGAGTGAAGAAAACAATTATGAAAATCAAACACTCGAAAATATCATCTCGAATCCTATGTACTCTACTTAAAGGTTGCTGTTTGTCCTTTGTTCTCAAAGGGGACCATGACATCAGGTAGTTGATGCCATGTCATGCAAATAAATTGGATATAAGTGAGGGAGGGCTGTGCAGAGTCACCAACTTCACTTTCACCTCTGGAGTCATCTGGGTCCAATGGCCAGATAGAGATCAAGAAAACTGGAGGTGGCCCTGGATTTAGTGGGGATCCCTGGCCTTTTCAAGTTAAAATCAAAATATGCTTCATAAATAGCAGAATTGTGGAAGAGGGATATAGGTTTGCGTGAAACAAATCGTTTATATATCATTTACAGATCCTGAGTAATTTTTTTTATTCTTTCTGTATTCCCAATATGAAAATTTGATATGGTGACCAAAAAGTTGACATACTACAAGAGTGATATAAATATTAAAATTCTTGATATACGAAACATGAAAAAAGGAAAGATGAAACTAAATGGAAAGATGTGCTAAAAGTTTATTTTTTTATATTAAAAGATTTGATGGATTTGATGAACTGAGAGCAGTTTGATCTATTGTGGAGTCGAAGACAGACGAAAGATTGTGGCCATACCCGGGAGTTGAACAGTTACACAGAGCTTGTGGAATGTGAAGTGTATGTCTTCAACACAGAGACTACCAGAAGACCAAATAAAGTCCTTAACCCAATATCAGAAGAGAAAGAACTAATTATAAAGGAACCACCAAGGAGGCGATAACACATTCTTCTGATGGTTTAACAGCAGAATTGTATGAAACCTTAAAAAATTAGTGCCAAGACTACAACCATTATTCTGAAGAATTTACACAATAATACATTTTATGAGGCAAATAAAGCCCAATACCTAAACTAGAGAAGTGTGAAAACACAGGAGATATATTTTAGTATAATTAATATTAAAATGTTATTCAAAAATTTTAAATAAATTCTTTTCAAGTAGACACCAGTGATTCCTCCAAGATACAATTATTTGTGTGCAAGTTGGATTTATATTAAAGATGCAAGAATAGTCCATTAGAAAAAAAACATGACATTAAATTTAATATGTTCAAAAGCAAAAAATTATCCTATCACATAATGAAAAATTCTTTAACAAAATTAAGTTTTGAAAACACTACCTAAAGAAAAGTTCTGAAAATACTACATAAAGAAAAATGTAAAGGTGGATTTTTATATCACAATAATACATCTTTAAACAGCAAACATTGTATGCAAAAACATATACTAGTATCTTTCTCAAATATAAGAGTAAAGTGCTGACAAATCTACTTATTAATTGGAATACTGTAAGAAATGTTATTAAGAACATTAAAATGAGAGAAATTAAAACATAAAAGTAGGAAAAAAAGGTAAAATTATCCCTATTTTTGAATAACATCATGGTTTACTTAAAAAATCCTAGGGAATCAGTGTAGATACTAACTGAGAAAAGTAATAGAATCATCAAGTAAACTACATAAAAAAACCTTTAAAACTCTGCATCTTTATATAAAGAAAAATCTAAGATCTTATAAGTGAAAAGGAAACTCCACTCTAAATATGTACAAAGTGCATAAATATCAGAACATCCATGGAACTATTCAAAATCCTTATATTCATTTATGAAGAGCTCCTTAAAGAAGTAAATAACAACTAAAATCAGAAGAAATAGTCGATGCTAGTGGCTTGACCATAACAACATAATAAAAATGAAAATAAAAATCCAGAGATTCCAAGAGGAAGAAGTAAGGAGTATTTGAAGTACAGGAATGGAGGACTGCTAACAAAAAGAAACAGGGCATTGTGTTCAGTAAACTGTGAACTGCCAGAAAACAAAAGTTCAAGCTTTGGGAACATGATGATTTACTGAGAAATGCATGCTAATTACATAACAAATCAGAAGCAGACTTTCTCAACTTTGATCCTGGACCTCAAATGCACTGGGAGTGTGGGCATATCAGATTTTCATACAGTATTTTGTGAGCCAAATTTGGTTGAATGAGGACTCCAACTTCCAGGAAAATTGCTTTTCACAAAACTCCCTAGAGTACTCTGGTTAATCTTGGTTAACACCAAAGCAGGTTTTCATGCAGATTACCTCCAGAGGCCAGACACCTACTCTCAATACCAATTCATCTATACTTAGGTAATGTTCAGGTTTTATGTTCTGGATTGTTAAAATTTCCCATAAGAATAAGGAAGTTAAAGATTAGGTTTTAGATTAAATTTTCCCACAGGAATGTGAAGCTACACAATGAAGTGTTAAAGGCAGGGAAGCATTGAGGATTCCAAAAGTAGTAAAATACTGTTGGGTAAAATACTCCTTGGATAGATTTTTGGTCTCATGAAGCAAGGTATGCTTCTGATAGTTACCACAATGACAAAAAAGCATATTGAATGAAAGATATTGAGTAAGTGCAGTATTATTTTAACTTGGAAAATATTATATTGCTAAGTAAAATTACTTCAGGTTAGGATTCAAAAAAAAAAAAAAACCAAACCTGTCTACTACTTTGGGGCAAGGACTGTTTATCTTTAGTAACCCACCAGTCTGGTTGGAAATCTGCCGTTCAGGGCATGGGGTGCAATCAAAGCAGCAGATGGGCTGACCTTCACCGACTGTCTTCTTGAATCCAGGGCCACAGCTCAGACTGCACGTGGAAGTCAGAGTATGTGTTTCCACCATAAAAAGGGAGAAAATGTCACTGTAAGAATGACTGATGAAAGATAGATCCAATGAGAAGATGATGACTTCAGATGTCTCCTATGAAAGACATTTAGAATAGTGTCTGCAATTCTGCAGGGCAAGGATGATCTAATTCTCAATGGCGACTTTCTTCCTGTATTTCCATCTTCCACTTCAGATCATCTTTTCCCCAAGGAACCTATACAAATTTTCTACCAGGCATAATCCAGCTACTTGATTTTTTTTAAACTATAGCTTGCTGGCACATTTTTTCGCAAAGCACTAATATATCTCTAAACTGAACTCCATTTTTGAACAGCTAATGCTGAAAAAAATCATTGAACATATAAGTGGAAATATTTCCTTGATGTCTTCCCCCAAAGGCCTGTTTTCTTTGTTTTCACAAAGTATCCTGAATGTTTCGAGGAATCATGACTTTAGAGAGTATATACTATAATGAACTAATTTAAGACTTCATCTTGATTGAATCTATGTAATAATGAGATGATTTGACTCACTGATCTGGATTCTTGGGCTGACATTTGTGACCTTCTCTGGGGACGACTGTGAAGGATGGGGTGGAATTTATCAAGTCCCAAGGACAAATTAAACTGCGTAGATACATACGTATGACATCAGTAGAAGATATAACCATAGCTTTTAAATTAAGAATCTCTAAAAGTCATTGTCCTTCTTGGGGAAACAAACTCAGGATAAATTATTTATATATCTGTAGGATTCCAGATATTGGATTGTCTTTGGTGTAATAGGTTACTTTGGGGGAAAAGTTTTCAACACTCTCCATCTTATTGTTATTCTTCAAACTTGACTACTTGATTTGGAATATTTCAAATTTCTCTTAGTATAAACAATTTACATCATCACGTAATTTAGCTGGAAAGAATTTGAAAGTAAAATAGAACAAAAATTGAATCAGAGCTCTTTCTTAGGGCAAAAAGGAACAGTGAGTAGATGTTAGAGCCCTGCCACAGCCATTTCCAGTGTCTTTGGGGAAATTCATGGTACCATCGAAGGAACAACAGAGTCCACGACTTTAAACAGGCAAAATGATGAAGTTCATATCATTCACTGGCCCCTTACCTGAAGGAAATCTCCTGGCCATTCTATGTATTCTTCATTAATGCTGAATACCTGACCCTGAGGGGTCACTTCACCCACTTTCACCAGCGTCTCAATCTGACCAGGGAAGTATTTGAAATTCAAGATATCATTATGTCTCAGTGGCTATCCTGGCTCCATCCCCACATGACTCATCACTGGCACTATTGACAGGACTGATGCACTTCAGGTAGTGATGGAGATGAAGGCAAAGACAGGAATTTGTAACTCTTTGGGGAAAGAAGGATCCATGCCCATGTCCCAGACTTGACTATTTACATGAAATAGGCTTTGAATTTGGAGCTTCCAAAAGCTGCAATTCTCTCTTTTTTTCAAATTCTTTTTGAGCTCCTCTTAGAGCTGTGCACTTTTTTTCTCCTTTTCCATAGTAAACCATGAACAATGGAAGAATAACAAAGCCAGTAAACAATTATGTGTTATAGATATTGAACTGACCTCAAAAGCCATTTTATCTTCAAAAGCCTTTCACCAAATGAGGAATTTCTCCCAAATATCTCTGATATCTTGCATTCCAAGTCCTCATTCTTTTCTAAAACCTGTGGTCACAGAGAACTCAGTACCTTCTATGAATAGAATCTGACCATTTCCTCCCCATTTGATTTTGAGGTCCTTAAAAACTGGGACTTCCTTTGCCTTTATTTGAATCCCCTGAACTTAGCACATAGGGGGTGCTTAAGAAATGTGTATTCATGGCCTGATTTTTAGGGGTAATCTCACATTTTGCACAAAAGTCTCCTTCATCGAAACAAATGGCCAGTGGAAGTCCCTATAGCAATTGGTAAGGTAAACTTAGGGGTACAGCTAGGTGGCACAGTGGATAGAGCACTGGCCCTGGAGTCAGGAGGACCTGGGTCCCAATCTGGTCTCAGACACTTGACACCTTCTAGCTGTGTGACCCTGCTCAAGTCACTTAGCCCCAATTGCCTCAGAAAAATAAGGTAAACTTAGGAATAAAGGGCAATTTGACATTCATAGTGATGCAATTCAAAGTAAAAAAAATAGCAATTAAAATGATTAAGAGACTGAGTAATTTGGAAAGTTCAGTGATGCAAAATAAATAGAAAGGAGAATAATTTCAAATGAAGAAATCATGAAAGAAATTGCAAAATGATGAACTGTAAGAAAATGAAACAGTACAATTTGTGGAAAATTTGAGAAACAGAGGTTTCAATAAAAGCTCGAAAATTCTTTTGGATTCACAGGAACTGGATGTCATAGTTCAATGGAAAATATTTGGTGGAACCAAGATGGTGGAGATAAGCCAGGAAGTTGCCTGAGCTCTCTTCAGTTTCCCTCAGAAACAATGTTAAATCAAGCCTCTAAACAGATTCTAGGGTGACAGAATCCTCAAAAAGGCCGAGTGAAAGAATTTTCCAACTTAAGATACCTTAGAAGAAATGTCTCACTTGGGTAAAAGAGACAGTGTCTGGGCAAGCCAGCTAAAGGCTCTTAGCCACGGCACAGATCAGTGAGGCTTCCACCCCTAGTGTAGTGGGAAAGCTGCAAGCACCTGTGGCCCTGTAGTAGAAAGTCAGTGATCAGGGCATAAACATAAGAAGATTGGGACAGTGCCCTTTAGGCCCCAGGAGCATAACTCATCTTTTAAAAGTCACAAAAGAGGCTCAAAAATGAGTAAGAAGCGGAAAAGAGCCCTGACCATAGAAAGCTTCTATGGTAACAGGGAAGATCAAAAACACTAACTCAAAAGAGGACAACAATGTCAAAATGCCTACAGGTGAATCCTCAAAGGGGAATATGAAATGGCCTCAATACCAAAAAATCCTCTTTGAAGAGCTCAAAAAGGATCTTAAAAGTCAAGTAAGAAAGATAGAAGAAAATTTTGAAAAAGAAATGAGAGTTATGCAGAAGAATTATAAAAAAAAAGAGTCAACAGTTTGGAAAAGGAAGCACAAAAATTGACTGACAAAAACAAATACTTAAAAAAACAGAATTGTCCAAATAAGCTAAAAATTCCCTGAAGAAAACAAGTCCATTATAGGTAGAATTGGCCAACTAAAAAAGGGGGTACATCCAGGAGCCAAGATGGTGGAGTGAGAATTAAATCACTCTCACCCTCTCTTATTGACCTCCAAAAACTTAGCATATATCACCCCAGGAAAAACCCTGGAACTGCTGAGAAAACAGATAAATAAGATGCAGCAGTCTTGTAGCCCAGGAAGCAGGAATTAATGGGAAAGACCCATCTTGCTCTAGGGGAAGGGGAGCAGTACATGATGGGAGGCATCCCAGCAAACCAGTGAAAAGCCCCACCTCACCAAACCAGAGGAAGATCCTGATCCCCAGAGTGGTAGAGCAGGCAATCACCAACTCCAGGACCCTCTGAGTACCTCAGAACAAGCAGGGGAACTGGAAGACACCAGCTGGGAAAACCACCACATGTGCTGGCATTCTCCACCAGCAAAATGTCCCAGTGCTTCGGTACAACTACAGAAAGCACAACTTAAGGAGGCACAGCTCCAGGCTAGCAGACATCCTCCAGTAGCTAAACATTTGAGAACAAGTCCTGGATAAGCTGGCATCCCCCAGGACCCAGACTCCTCACCCCCACCCTGAAAGTTCCGGTGTTGCTGACCCTAGCTCAGCACCAGGTAAGCTGTCAGACCCCTACACCCTATAGCTGCCAGCACATGAGCCTGCAGCGCACAAATAGAGTGGTTTAGGTATGAAAGACACAACATTCAATTACTATATTAATCTACTATTTGATAAATCCAAAGACTCCAACTTCTTGGATAGGAACTCACTATTTAACAAAAACTGCTGGGAAAATTGGAAAACAGTGTGGAAGAAACTAGGCATAGATCAACATCTTATACCCTACACCAAGATAAAGTCAAAATGGGTACATGATTTAGATATAAAGACTGATACTATAAGCAAAGTAGGAGAGCAAGGAATAGTTTACACATCAGATCTATGGAGAAGGGAAGAATTTATGACCAAACCAGAAAAAGAGAATATTATGAAATGTAAATTGAATGATTTTGATAATATTAAATTGAAATGTTTTTACACAAAAAAAGCCAATGTAACCAAGATAGAAGGGAAGCAGAAAGCAGGGAAACAATTTTTACAACCAGTGTTCTTGATAAAGGCTTCATTTGTAAAATATGTAGAGAACTGAGTCAAATTTATAAGAATACAAGTCATTTCCCAGTTTATAAATGGTCAAAGGATATGAACAGGCAGTTTTCAGAGGAAGAAATTAAAGCTATCTATAGTCATATGAAAAAATGCTTTAAATTACTACTGATCAGAGAAATGCAAATCAAAATGACTCTGACTTACCACATCACACCTAGCAGACTGGCTAACATGACAAAATAGGAAAATGATAAATGTGGGAGACGAAGTGGGGAAATTGTAACACTAATGCGCTGTTGGTAGAGTTGTGAACTGATCCAACCATTCTGGAGAGCAATTTGGAACTATGCCCAAAAGTTATAAAATTGTGCATACACTTTGACCCAGCAATATCACTTCCAGGTCTATATCCCAAAGAGATCATACAAATGGGAAAAGGACCCACATGTACAAAAATATTCATAGCAGCTCTTTTTGTGGTGGCAAAGAATTAGAAATTGAGGGGATGCCCATGAATTGGGGAATGGCTGAATAAATTGTGCTATGTGAATGTAATGGAATACTGTTGTGGTATAAGAAATGATGAGCAAGATGACTTCAGAAAAACCTGGAAATACTTATACGAATTGATGCAGAGGGAAATAAGCAGAACTGAGAGAACATTGTACACAATAACAGCCACATTGTGCAATGACTGACCTTGATAGAATTATCTCTTTTCAGCAAAGCAAGGATTTAAGATAATTCCAAAAGACACATGATGGAAAATGCTATCCACATCCAGAGAAAGATCTTTGGAGTCTGAATGAAGATGGAAGTATACTATTTTCTTTCCTTTTGTTATTTTGTTTTATTTCTTCTTTCTTGTGGTTCCTCCCATTAGTTCTAATTCTTCTTTACATCATGACTATTGTGAAAATATGTTCAATATGAATGTGTGAGTAGAGCCTATATCAGATTGCATGCCATCTTGGGGAGGGGGGAGGAAATGGTGGGGTAGAAAATTCAAAACTTGAAAACACCACCCTGAGAGGAGCCAAGATGGAAAGTTCTATTGTGCTGGGCTCAGGGAGGAGCACAATTCGGTGTGGGCCATACAGGCAAAGACTGGGCCTCAGTGAATCTGGAGCAGTCCTCAGGGGATTGAATCAAGGGAATCTGTGGTGGTTTCCAGACTTCTTAACCCACAAACACCAAAGACAACTTAGAAGGTCAGTAGGAAAGGTCTGGTAGACCACTGTAAGAGAAGAACTTGGTACAGCCCCAGTCCCAGGACAGCCCTGGGACAGCAGCTGCTTCTGGAGCTCTCAGCCCACAGACAGAAGAGGAATTGAGTGGCTGATCAGAGGCGGATTGCAGGGATCTCTTTGCTGGTGCTGTGGCAGTATTCTCTTGTTTTGCCTCTGCTTTGATCTGTGTGGTAGTTCCGGATGACAGTCACAGGGAAAAGACAAGTACTGGTGTGGTGGAGCTCATGGTCACGGTGGAGAGGGCATCCTCCTCACAGTTCCAAGGCAGAAAAGAGTGCTTGTCATAACTCATAGACCAAAGCCCAGGGAGGGAAGGTGTAAACACTTTGCCCTTGATCTTACCACATTGGAAGAACTGAAAATTTGCAGTATTCTAGAAGTATCTCTGAAAATAGCTGAACAAAATCCCCCAAACTTGGACCAATATATTCTCCACACTGGAAGCAGACCCTTACCTTAACAAAGAGTTTAAAACTCAAGTAATTGGTTGGGAACATGAGCAAACTGCACAGAAAAAGTAAGACCATAAAAATCTTACTTTGGTGACAAAGAAGATCAAAACATACGACTAGAAGAAGACAACAAAGTCAAAGCTCCTGCATCCAGAGCCTCCAAGAAAAATATGAATCAGCCCCAGGCTAATGGAAGAGCTCAAAAAGGATTTTGAGAAGCAAGTAAGAGAAGTAGAAGGAAAACTGGGTAGAGAAATGAGAGTGATGCAAGATAATCATGAAAAACAAGTCAACAGCTTGTTAAGGGAGACCCAAAAAATACTGAAGAAAATAACACCTCAAAAAATAGTCTAACACAAATGACCAAAGAGGTCCAAAAAGGCAATGAAGAGAAGAATTCCTTAAAAAGCAGAATTGGCCAAATGGAAAAAGGAAGTGCAAAAGCTTACTGAAGAAAATATTTCCTTAAAAATTAGAATGAAGCAAATCGAAGCTAATGATTTTATGAGAAATCAAGAAATTGTAAAACAAAAACCAAAAGAATGAAGAAATAGAAGACAATGTGAAATATCTCATTGGAAAAACAGCTGACCTGGAAAACAGATCCAGGAGAGATAACTTAAAAATTATTGGGCTACCTGAAAGCTGTGATTAAAAAAGAGCCTAGACATCATCTTTCAAGAAATTATCAAAGAAATGAACTGATATTCTAGAACCAGAGGGTAAAATAGAAATGGAAAGAATGCACCAATCACCTCCTGAAAGAGGTGCCCAAAGGAAAACTCCTAGGAATATTGTAACCAAATTCCAGAGTTCCCAGGCCAGGGAGAAAATATTGCAAGCAACCAGAAAGAAACAATGCAAGTATTGTGGAAACACAATTAGGATAACACAAGATTTAGCAGCTTCCACATTAAGGGACCAGAGGGTTTGGAATATAATATTCTGGAGGTCAAAGGAGATAGGATTACAAGCAAGAATCACTTACCCAGCAAAACTGAGTATAATCCTTCAGGGAAAAAATGGACCTTCAGTGAAATAGAGGACTTTCAAGCACTCTTAATGAAAAGACCAGTGCTGAATAGACCTAAATACAAGACTCAAGAGAAGCATGAAAAGGTAAATGGGAAAGAGAAATCATAAGGGACTTATTAAAATTAAACTGTTTACATTCCTACATGAAGAGATGATGTTTTTAACTCATGAGACCTTTGTCAGTATTAGAGTAGTTGGAGGGAAAAAATTATATGTGTATATGTGTGTGTGTGTGTGTGTGTGTGTGTGTACATATATAGAGATAGATAGATAGATAGATAGAAGGCACAGGGTGAGTTGAAGATGAAGGGGTGATATCTAAAAAATAAAATTAAGAGGTGAAAGAGGGTTATACTGGGAGAAGGAGAAATGGAGAGGTAGAATGGGGTAAATTATCTCAAATAAAATAGATAAGAAAAAGCTTTTGCAGTGGAGGCAAAGTGGGGGAAGGTGAGAGGGAATGAATGCCTCTTATTCTCATAGGATTTGGCTTAAGGAGGGAATTACATACACACTCAATTGAGTATGGAAATCTATCTTACACTACAGGAAAATAGGGGGAAGGGGATAAGACAGTGGGGGAATGATAGAAGGGAGACCAGATTGGGGGAGGGTGTAATCAGAAGCAAACAGTTCTGAGGAGGGACAGGATTAAAAGAGAGAATAAAAAAATGAGGGGAGACTGGACAGGATGGAGGGAAATGTAGTTAATCTTTCACAGCATGACTCTTATGGAAGTGTTTTGCCTGACTACACATGGATAACCTATAGTGAATTGCTTGCCTTTTCAATGGGGTGGGTGGGGAGAGAGGAAAAGAGAGAATTTGGAACTCAAAGTTTTAAAAACAAATGTTAAAATTGTTTTTACATGCAACTGGGAAATAAGATATACAGGCAAAGGGGTATAGAAATATATCTTGCCCTAAAGGAAAATAGAAGGGGAAAGGGATAAGAGAAGGGGGGATAGAAAGAAGGGCATATTGGGGTAAGGGATATTTAGAATGCACGTCATCTTCATGTGGAGGGAGGGGAGAGATGGGGAGAAAATTTGGAACTCAAAATCTTATGGAAGTGAATGTTGAAAACTAGAAATAAATAAATTAATAAAAAAGAAATGATGAACAGGCAGATTTCAGGAAAAAAAACTGGAAAGACTTACATGAATTAATGCTCATTTCAGTAGGCAGAACCAGGAGAACATTGTACATAGTTAACAGCATCACTGTGAAATAACCAACTTTGATAGACAGCTCTTTACAGAAATACAATGATCTGAGACAATTCCAAAAGACTCATGATGGAAAATGCTATCCACATCCAGAGAAAGAACTATGGCGTCTGAATGGAGACTGAAGCATGCTATTTTCATTTTTTTGGCTTTTTTTTTCTTTTACGTGGTTTTTCCCTCTTGTTCTGATTCTTCTTTCACAACATGACTAATGTGGAAATATGTTTAAAATGATTGTACATGATTGTGCACTTTAATCTGTATCAGATTGCCAATTG